CCTGGTCCAAGCCTATGATCAAATTCCTGAACGCCTGTGGAGCACAGTATGTCCATGATCCTTTGACTGCTGCTGTTCCCAAGGACAAGGAGGTTTTGGATGGAGAGATTAACTGGTTGATCTATGGGAAGGTCTCTGAGGATTGGCAGTATTTGGTTGCTGATGTGGAGCATGCTTGGGAGTCTTGGAAGGCATTGAAAGGGCAGTTTGAGAAGTCGACTATGGGCAGCAGGCTGAAGGCACGTTCTGAATTCCACAATGTTGTCCACGACCCCTCGAAGCCCATCTCCCACTATGTCCAATCAGTTATGGCTGCCAGGGCTGTCCTGAAGAGCCTGGGCCATGAGCCTGATGATGTGGAGACTGGTGATGTCCTCCTCATGAATCTCCATTCATCTTTCGACACTATCCGCACCACCATTCTCACTTCCAAGGATGAACCCTCCCTCTCCACCATAAAATCAACTCTTCTTGGTTCTACTGCTTCCGCCAATGTCTTCATCAAGTCTGAGCCTTCCCCTATTGCTTTGGCTGCTCGTGCTGGTGGAAGAAGGGGTTTTGGTACTGGGGGATCTGGTTATGGAGCTGGAGGATCTGGTTATGGGTCTAGAGAGGATGAGAAGGGTTTCCGTTGGTGCGATCCGACCCAGGAGAGCGCTTGTCACCGGTGCGGTCGTCCTGGTCATATCGCTGCTCGATGCATCCATGATATGCCCCAACATGTCAAGGACTGGGTTATGTCTCCCCCTGGTCGCTCCGCCTCTGCTCAGACAGCTTCTGTCCTTCAAGATGAGCAATCTGCTCGACTTGCAGCTGCGACTGCTTATGGCAAGCATCTCCGTCAAACACTCTTCACTCGCGAAGCTGGATTTGCTGGGAGTGACGAAGAAGATGAGGGAGGGGAAGTTGTACCTGATGGTGGTTATATTGAGGAAAGTTCTCAAGTCTTTATTCATTCTTGATGGTTGCTTGGTGTGGTGGGAGTTGATCAATTTTTCTTTCAAAATTTGTGGAGGAGTTTGTGGGGACGCCTGTTTGTCAGTTTAGGTGGGAGTCTTATCCTTCTTGCGTCCTCACAAGGTGGGAGTGTTAGGATTGGATTGTATCAGACGCTTTCAGCAGCCACAATAACCAAATAGGTACAAACAGTTTCGCATTTTTGGTAATTGTTCTACTGGATGTACTTTTCCTTAGTCCGTTGCTCTATACTAGCCTCCGGTTTGTGTCTGTGTCTGTGTCTGAGTCTCTGGGCATCTTTAGTGTCCTTCTGGTCTATCCCTGCCACATCTAATACATCTCTGTATGGCACTACAGATATGGCCCCGAAACTTCATTGTATCCTAGACCTAATCATGGCTGATAAGAGAGGTTGCCAAGTCATGGAACAATGGATGCTCCCTCACGCCATTGACCTCGTATCCGAACGGGTCCATAGAGAAATGGATGAAGTCTGCCGCAACCTTCGCATCGGGATTAAGCAGATCACACCCACCCTCATTGAGAACTGGACGATGGAAGATACGATGGGCGCTGTGGCAGAAAAATATGCCCCAACATTCCTTCAAATATTGCTCAGAGGAATGACTTCGAAAGCGACAAGCACCAAGAAGTCACCTAAAGCGGTACAGTGCTTCTCAGATATGAATCTATCCTTGATCTGAATTTGTATCACCGCTAGCTTGGCTCGGTGATGGTCTCACAAGTTGCCCATCATAGATCTCAAAATAGCCTTTACTTCCAAGGAATTCATGGGTTCTTATCTTGGGCCAATGGCTTGTCAAGACAGACCATAGAAATCCTTCACAAGATGAGCCTTTCTGTCTCCTTCGACTCTATTCTTGACATCGTCGAGCATGTCGCCGACGGCTGTATTGAGCGGGCGAAGCGGGTGGCCAGAGGACCACATTGCTTCTGCTATGACAACGTGCAGATCAGCACATCTATCCACGTTGAACAGCGAGAAGATGCTCCGTCTAAGGTCCAATGTGGAACGTTTGGCATTATCTACGAGCTCTGCAATGCCTCGGCAGAGGCTGTCCATTTAGGACCACTGATAGAGCGATACAGAAATGCGGGGGAACTCGTCTATACACAGCACGTCAGGCCGACACGCAGAGAGCATCAATCACTGAACAATCAAATTCTGAACCACATCGTCTCTCGTCTCCGGACCTACTCTAGTGCTTTTCATGAATACACGGATGATAGGCTTCCTCTTGAAGACCTTACTCGACGGCCGTTACCTGAAGGTCACACGACAATGTTGAGGATACAATGTGAAGAAGCACTTTCACCGTTTTCACTGTGACGAGCGCGTTCGGGTATATACGGATGCTCTCCCCCTTTCCCCTTTTCCTTTCCCTCAGTCGTGTCGCATACGGCTGAGGTGAGTCTCGTGTTCACACTGAGCTACACATGTACCTGACAAGTATACGATAGATTCATTGTTATTAGGTACATACATCACTATACACAGTCGTGTCGCATACGGCTGAGATTCATTGTTATTAGTTTCTACAGGTTATGAGCCCCTGACGACTCGTGTTCTCGCAAACCGAGTAGTGGAAGCTTTTTACCTTTGAATCCCGGATCCGATTTGCTTCCGAAGCGCCCACCAACGCGCGCATCACTCTCGTTTTCGCGTCTTATCTCTCGTCGACGCGTCCTTCGCAGCCTCTCGCTCGTTCTTCATCACTCGTCTTTGTCTTCTCTCGCTGGCTATGACCATAGGCACTGAACTTTCCGAAGCCATGTCTGGTACTCTATCTGCCCCGAGCACTGCCGAACCCCCTGGCCATCCCGTCGTCCCCCCTCGCGCCGTCGCCCCTACTATCCCCGTCATTCCGATCCCCCCGACCCTACTAGCCGCGTCCAATGCCATCATCCTTGACCTCACCAAGAACAATTGGCCGGACTGGTCCCACCAGGTCGAGCAAACCCTCCGGCTCTCAGGTCTCGCTGGGTACATTGATGGACGTATCGCTCAACCTGCGGCGGCGTTTGATCCCGTCGGTGCCAACAACTGGCTGTCTAACAATGAGGCGATTCTTGGCTTCCTCAGCCTTCGCGCCGTCAAGGAGGAACGCCGTTTTATCGACAAGGCTGGTACTGCCGCTGTTGCGTGGGCCGCCCTCCGCGTTCGTCACGAAAAGCAGGGCCCTCTGGCGCAGATTTTGCTTATCCAGGAGGCGTTCGCGGTTCGCTACTCCCACTCGGAACGTTTCGCTACCACTAGCGATCGGCTCACTGAACTCGTCAAGCGGATATATGCTATTGGTATCCCAACCGAAAGTGCGTTCCTTTCCATCGTCATGCTGAACGCCCTCTCCGCGGAACTTCCGGGTGTTCGCGACCATGTTGCTACCGCTCTCGCCAATGCTACTGTGGACCGCCCTGTCACCGCCGAGGATATTCGCCTTCGTCTTGACTACGAACAACAACTCGTCGACAACGCCGCTGCTACTTCTGGCTCCGTCGAAGTTCTCGCTGCTCAGTCTGCTACTGCTCGTGCAAAGGCTCCCAAAAAGATCTGCTCTCACTGCAAGGCGAACGGCCATCTCGCTGATACCTGCTGGGCCCCCGGAGGCGCTATGGCTGGCCGACGTGATGAAGTCCTCGCGGCCAAGCGCTCTCGTGCTCCCGGTCATGTTAAGCCCACCGTCGCCCCAACTACCCGTCCTACTCCCACTGGTACGGGCCCTCGTCGCGACGACTCCGGACGTGCATACCTACTGGATAGCGTCACTGGTGAAGCCTTCTACCTTGCGGACGCCGGAATTTCCTCTCTCGCCACCCTTGCTACGCAGACGGCCGAACAGACCATCCTCCACACTGAGTCCTATCTGCCGTCCCCTGACTGGCTTGCGGCTTACCACGACTCTCTTGGCGATCGCTTCGAGTACGAAAGTTACCTAACTCTCATGGCGGACTTCAACTGCAATGTCGACTGGTACCAGAGGAGGAGAAATGACATCGCACTCACTTCTGTCGCGATTGAGCCCATTACCTCGTTGCCTCGTTCTCGTGCTCCTCTCCAGAATCCTGACTTACACCCGTACATCCTGGACACTGGTGCTACCGCTCACATCTCGCCCGAACGCAGCGACTTCATGGAGCTACACCCCCTACCGGCCAGCCTCATCAAGGGCATCGGCGGATCCTCCATCCACGCTGTCGGTATTGGCAAAGTCAAGATCCACGTCGCACGGGGTATCACTCTGGTCCTCGACAAAGTCCTCTACGTCCCTCAGGCGACTGTTCGTCTCATTTCTATTGGCGAACTCACCTCTAGTGCCAATCTTGTCGCGCACTTCAGCGGTACGTCCTGCTGGCTTACCAAACCCAATGGCACTATCGTCGCCCGTGGTCCCAAGATGTCTCGGCGACTCTACCGCCTCGACGGTCCTCCTCCCTCCATTGAGTACGCTAACTTCGCCACCCGCGTCCCGGATGTCGCCACCTGGCACCGACGTCTCGGTCATACCAACCCTCGCTCCATAGTCGAGATGGCTACCAAACGTCTTGTCGAAGGTATGCGCATCGACATTTCTTCCGAGCCCCCGAAATGTGACCACTGTATCCTCGGGAAACAGGTCAAAAATTCGGTACCCAAGGCTCGGGAGGGGACGAAGGCAACTAGGGCGCTGGAGATCGTGTATGCCGACCTCATGGAGGAGTCGGTTGTTTCAGCTTCGGGCAACAAATATGTATTGAACCTCATAGACGATTATACATCTTTTCCTTGGTCTTTGCCCCTACGTTCGAAAGATGCTGCCTTCCAACACCTTCAGGACTGGGAGCGCGCTCGCGAACTTGAGACTGGGTCCCGAGTCGGCATCTATCGTACCGACAATGGCGAATTGAGGAGTGACAAGATGTCTGCCTGGCTCGCATCTCGCGGCACCCAACAACAGTTCACTGCTCCACACACCTCTGCGCATAACGGACGCGGTGAACGTATCCACCGTACCCTTCGAAATAAGGCGCGCACTATGCGTATCCAAGCTAACCTACCAGAAAATCGCTGGGATGAACTCATCCTCACCGCGTGCTACCTCACTTCCCGCACGCCCTCTCGCTCTCTTGTCGGGCAAACCCCCTTCGAGGCTTATTACGGCCGGAAACCGAACCTCTCCCACTTGCGCGAGATCGGTTGCCGGGCCTTCGTCCTTGTCGAGAACAAATACAACCCCAAAATCAAACCGCGATCTATCGAATGCGTCCTTATCGGTTACAGTCCCAACTCCAAAGCGTACCGCTGTTACCACCGCCCCACTCATCGCATTATTACCTCCTTCAATGTCCAATTTATCGAGTCTCATGAAGCGATTCCTCGCGTCGTTCACCCTGGGCGTATCCTTGATCTCTCAAACCCCCCGGATACTTCAAGCGCTCCCGATTCCCCAAGTCTTCAAGATCCAAGCGTTCAAGATCCCTCAATCCTTCCAGATACCTTCCAGCCCCTCGGCATTCTACCTCCGGATGGCGACGACTCTCCTACTTGCGCGCCTCCACCTTCCAGTCCCATTCTTACCACACTTGACCCCGCCCCTCCCACCTCCACTCCTGTCGTCGCTCCTACTCCCGCTCCTGAGCCTCGACGTTCCTCTCGCATCCCCATTCCCAGCGACAAATTTGCCCTTGCCCACGATATTCCCAAGGTCACTCCCGTCCAACAGGCTGTTGCCGAATCTCGGGCCATTGGCGAACGCATCCACCAGGAGCGCCTCGACCGTCGTGCTGCCCATTCTCCCCCCACCATTGACGAAGTCCTCTCCATGCTCCACAAATCCTTCGCCGCTCTTCAGGATGGTCCCATCGATGTCGAGTTCCCGGACGATCCCAAGAACCTGAAGGAAGCTATGTCTTCCACAGATGCCGCCCAATGGCACAACGCCTTACTCGAAGAGTTTGCTTCAATCAAGGAGCTCGGTGTGTACAAACTCGTCCCACCCTCTGCTGTCCCTCCCAGTCGCAAGCTCATGCACGGCCGCCCTGTTTTTCGTCTAAAACGCGATGCCACTGGTGCGCCTGCTCGCTACAAGGCTCGATATGTCTGCAAAGGCTACGAGGCCGTATTTGGCTTGGACTATGACAAGACCACCTCCCCCACCATGCGCATGGAATCCTTCCGTGTTCTCCTCCATCTTGCCGCTGCCCTTGACTGGGACGCCCAACAGATCGATATCAAGACCGCCTTCCTTTACGGCCTCCTTCCTGCTGGCGAAACCTGCTATATGCAACAACCCGTCGGCTTCGAAGAACCTGGCAAGGAAAACTGGGTCTGGGAACTTCAGAAAGGACTCTACGGAATGAAGCAGGCCGGACGCATCTGGAACCGCACCATGCACGATCGGATGGTCGAGCTGAAATTTACTCGCCTTCCTTGTGAGTACTGCCTCTATTATCGCCAGGACGAATCGGGTGTCGTAATCGCCGGCGTTCACGTCGATGACTTCCTCTCCATTGCAAACCCTCCGGACGCAAACACCCGCTTCAAGTCCCAATTACGCGAAAAGTGGCAAATCAGCGACCAAGGCGAAGCCAAATTCTGTATCGGCATTGCCATTGAACGCGACCGTTCTACGCGCACCGTATCCCTCTCCCAAACCGCACTCATCGACCGCGTTATCACCCAATTCCATATGAAAGACGCCTATCCTATCGCGACGCCAATGGATGCCGGTCTTCGTCTCTCTCGTACTGAACACTCTCCGAAGACCGAGGAGGAGAAACTTCTAGCGGCTACTCTCCCGTACCGCTCCCTCATCGGCTCGCTGATGTATCTGGCTGTGGGTACTCGCCCGGATATCGCGTATGCAGTTCAACACCTCAGCCAATTCCTTGATTGCTACGGTTCCGCCCACTGGGAGGCTGCTAAGCGCATCATACGGTATCTAAAAGGAACCAGAGACTTCAAGCTCGTGCTCGGTGGGCCTCGCGCTGCGCAACTCGTTGGCTATACCGACTCTGGCTACGCTATGCGTCCTGATACTCGTCGTTCTGTTGGCGGCTATTGCTTCACTCTGGGCTCCGGCGTCGTCACTTGGTCCTCACGCAAACAAAAGACTGTATCTCAATCTTCTTGCGAGTCTGAGTATGTCGCCGCTGCTGAATCGGCTAAGGAACTCGTCTGGCTACGCACTCTCCTCAACGGCATCCATTTTGAACAGCTTACACCGACTCCCCTACTCTGTGACAATACGGGAGCCATCGTCCTCTCTAGCGATCCCTCATTCCACAGCCGCACGAAACACATCGACGTCAAACATCATTATATTCGTGAACTCAGTGACTCTGGCGCACTAAAGGTCAGCTATGTCAACACTAAGGACAACGTCGCCGATATCTTCACGAAAGCCTTGGACGCTGGTCCGTTCACCCGCTTGCGTTCATTCCTAGGCCTGCGTAATACCCCTCCGTCCTTGGAGGAAGTCGGAGAAGACGTCTCTACATGAGGAGGAGTCACGGGCAACTCTTCCATGCGAGGAGGAGACACATTGGATGGTTCGGCTGTCTTCACATTGAGGAGGAGTGTTGAGGATACAATGTGAAGAAGCACTTTCACCGTTTTCACTGTGACGAGCGCGTTCGGGTATATACGGATGCTCTCCCCCTTTCCCCTTTTCCTTTCCCTCAGTCGTGTCGCATACGGCTGAGGTGAGTCTCGTGTTCACACTGAGCTACACATGTACCTGACAAGTATACGATAGATTCATTGTTATTAGGTACATACATCACTATACACAGTCGTGTCGCATACGGCTGAGATTCATTGTTATTAGTTTCTACAGACAAAGTATTTTCCACTTCGCACCACAACCGTAGAGGAGAACACCATCGATGGCAACAACAAATTCATTGAAGTGACCTACTTTGATCAGCTGGGGTTCACATCTGAAGAGCTTTGCGAGTTCGCCATCCCTACGATCAATGACCAGGCGACGAACTCTCGTATCCGTAGCGCAAAGGCATTACGCCGCGGCGATGTGAATGCTTTCACCCGTCTGGAACCATTCCAGGTTGCACCTGGCCTGTTCCATCTCCAAATGAACTTGATATGGGCTCTGCTGCACGTCCACCGAGGGTCACTAAATGATGAGGGAAGCCTATCATTTTTCTTCACTCTCCTCGAAAGGACCCGATTAAACGGAGAGCACCCAGACTTCTATACGCTCCATTCGACTCTCATGCAAATTCTTGACGGGCTCATACTCAGTGCATGGGAGCTAGAGTGTGGTTACGGCTCCCTAGCCGAGTTTGCAGCCTCGGCCCCATCCAAGGAGAAACTTCGTGAAATTGCTGTCCGGATCCTGAAGAAGCATGGGGATGTTCCTGCACTAGCGAAGCCTGATGACAACACTATCCCAGAGACTGATACAAAGCGATGCAACGTCCAGCTTCTCTTCCGAGACCTATCACTGGTTGCAGTGTTGGACAACGCAATATCGGAGGGGGACTGGGGTCGTATCGAAGATATGCTTGGCACACTAGCAGCAATGTTCCGCGGTGCTGGCCCAAACAAATACTCGACTGAGATATTATATCTCATCCATAACCTGCAGGTTGTGTGGACACCCGATTTTGCGTATGTCACCGAATGCTTCCATGGAATGTGGAGTCTCGACTCTGAACTGGGACTTTGTATAGCAATATCATGCGGGATAACTTGATAATTAATCCCACTGGTAGGGCCGGGCATGCCATGGGCGTTGACCTGAACATTGAACATCAGATTGGGCAGCAAAAGGTGAGTGGTGACAATATTCATCATCATCATCATCACCATGTTTCATTGTTTATAGGCACTCTCGACACGGAGGGGCATCCATGGAAGCTGGGAGAGGCTCGCAGACATATCAGCATGTGGAACAGTCATCCGCGGAGCAAAAAAATCACTGGCAAGAGGTTTTCATATCCCCTATCAAGGGACAACACACCAGTCAACGAATCTCTCGCATGCTGTGCGAAAGATCGCAGATAAGGTGCTGGAGCGCAAGCTGCAGATTTCGGTCAGCGAGGGTAACAGGCTCCGCAGTGCTAGCAAAGAAGCAGTCGACCTTATCGGAACTGGCACCGCAAAACTGGTGACGACGATAAGCTCATTCAATAAGAAATTTAAAGAATTGCTTTCGGGCTCACGCTTTGATGATGATGAGAATGACGATCTGGGACTCCCGGCACTCGGACTAGTGATGGATGATGCCGAAATACAATCTCATTCGCAAGATTAATGACTAGCTACTCAGGTACAATTATCATTCTCATGCAAAGGCAGCCGTTCACCCCCCAAAGTCTCTCTGCTTCCAAGTCGCTGTCGCTTCGCCTCTCGACCACTCCCATCAGTATTCTCCTTGCCATCGGAGCCCCCCCGTTTAGCCCCATCGAAGGATCGTATCGTGTCAAATACCCCTTGACTCCAACAATCGGCCCAGTCATCGGTCTCGCCCAATGCAAGCACAATGTCTGCAGGCGAGAGGAGGGTTGTTGGAAGGGTCTTGCTCAAGAGTTTCACGGCTCCGTCACTGAGTATGTCATGGACTGTACCTATTGCTAGAGTATCGTTGTTGTAAGCATCCTCTCGCCACCTGTAAAGACATTTTTCGAGGGGCAGACGCTCGTCCTTCTTCCTAAGTTTCACTCCCTTCTTCCTCTTAGCAACGGGCTTGACCGCCGCTACAGGGGTCCATGGCTTTCCAGTGCCTGAGGTGTACTTCGTAAGATCCACTGCCTGCCCGTGCCGGTCACAGCAATAACTTTGGGCACAAGGAAGAACTGAGCTGTGTGAGAAACTATGACACTTAACATTGCGCTAATACACTCACCTTGAGAAGCATCGCCGCCCAGATACCGCATCCAAAAGAGTCGCAAGCACTCTGTGGTTTGTGCGTAGGTGATTGCGCTTCTGCCGGTCCGCACGTTCTTGCCCGAGAGCTTTACATTGATAGAGTAGTCGGGATCCTCAGCGGGATCTTCACCATCTTCGGAGGGTTTCGGCAGCACAACATCATACACCCAGGGCTCGATCATAGAAAGAAATAACGCGTCTATTTCCTCATCACGTCCTGCCCGACCGCCTCTCTGTAGAGCATCTGCAGAGTTAGGGCATATTCCATATTGGATGACCATGTGGACGTCTCGAGTGTCAACACCCTGGATAAGCCTTCAGAGTATTCTGAGAGTCACGAGCGGCGAGGGACAACTTACTGTTGCGGCACCTGATGTAGCTACGAGTATCCGACATGGGCCATCAGGTCTCGTAAAGGCTTCACATGTTTCATCTAGGTACTGTTGCGACATGCCGCCATGGTAGTGTCGTGCATACTTCTGGTTCCGTAGGGCCTCTGGGGTATGATTATTCAGATAACTTGCAATCCGGTCAGCCATACTTCGGCTATCTACAAATATCATAACTTTCTTCAGCGGAGTACCCGGGTTGTAACTAGATGGGATCAGAAAGTCAAGATTATGAAAATTTTGAGTCCCCTCCACAAGACGTATAGTGGCAAAAGCCAGATTCGGGCGAAGCAGGGATCCACGAAAGACAGGTACATCTGCCGGCATGTTGAGAAGTTGAGTAGAAACCATCAAGATATGTTTCGGTAAAGTCGCCGAGAGCATCTGGAAGGTAGTATCCCTGCCTAAGAGAACACGAAGCCTATTGAGGCGTCCATACGCAGGTCGGAAAGCCTTTTCGCCGTGTTTGGGGAGCCCCGCCGTGTATATATGATGCGCCTCGTCGATGTGAACATGCTTGATCATCTTGCAGAATGCTCGACTTTGTAACAGACGTGCAAAACGGGGCAGGTGACCCTTATAGATCCCGAGTTGCTCAGGAGACACAATAAAAAGTCGGTATTTTCCTCCCTCAATAGCCTGCCCAGTGACATAACGCGGCATGGCATGAATAAGAGGTAACGGTACACGGTACGAATGAGCTTACCTTCCAGAGCAACTTATCATTGGGCGTGTCTTCGTTGATGGAGATGGCGGGGATCCCGAACGTATGGACTACCTCCGTGACCTAACAGGAAGTTTACGTGCAATGTATCTGATTATGGTCAAAATGCTACATACCTGGTTCGATTGTAGCCTCTTCAGGGGCGAAATAATAACAGATACAGCCTTCAAATCCCAGAGCAGGGGCAAGATCATGAACAGAGTCTTGCCGGTGCCACAGCCAGAGTATACAACAGAGTCTTGTCCCTGGATCGTCACCAGAGTACCAGCCAGCTGAAAATCCCGAGGTACAATCTTCTTGCTATTAATTGTTATCAAGTAGCATAGTATAGAGACCCTGTAGACATCAAGAGTTTCCTGTAGCGAAAGCCGAGTAGAGGAGAGCCCAGAGCTGGATGGCAGCAGATTCACTGGAAGCACATTGCTGGCAAGAAGAAATAAATAACCGGGAGTCGAACGTCCAATTTCACGCAGAAGAGAGTCTATACGAGCTATATTCATTATACGAAGCTTGTAGAATATGAGGAGGTGAGCATGGAGGCAAGCTGATCCTTACGCGTAGTGGGACTTAGACGCGTCAAGGTCACGCTACCGCGAGTTGTAGTGGGATTACAACGTTTCTTACTCGACTACAACGGTTCTTACTCAACTACAAATTTTTATTACTCGACTACAAAACCCGACGACCATTACAATCGGCAGCCTTCGGCGGTCTTCGGCTGCGTCGGCTTGCACGGCTGGCTCTCGACATGCGACTTAAGTCGCGTATACCGAGTTCCCACGCCAAATCTACCAGCCTCTCTAGCCTGATTCTGCCCTCAATCAGGCTACGAGAGGGTGGTCACGAGCCTACTAAGTGCTAGCATCACGAATTGCCGTATCTCATCCATCCTACTGCGACTCTTGGGCTTTCATGAAGTTCCCTTCAAATTGAACGGTTATGATCGATTTCGTCGTGGCAGGTTTGCATCTTGTAAATTATTATGCAATAAGTAATTATAAGAAGAGCACCCGAGACCTCTGCAATCCGTCTCGCTCTGCTCCCTCGGACAATGGCATTCCGAATCAATGAATACACGCTGAAAGATGGGTAGCTGGGTCTTCCATGTGACTGCAACCTCTTGTCATTTGGGTTCGGATGACGACGTCATGGAGCCTCCAGATGACCCGCCGGGAGCCACCACCGTCGAATGAAGGGGACATAAGCTTGTCGAGCAGAACGATTACTCACAGAGCTTGTGCTTGTGCCCTTTCTACCTGATCTCGCTAGCCTTCGTTCACTATGGATCCTGAAACTAAACATTCCGCCTACCACACCGCTGCCTTCAATGCGGCAGGAGAAGCCATAATGAGCTTTAAGCCCATTATTGCTGTTCTGAGAAATGTTGGCCGCGCGGGAAAAACGCAACGAACTGGGCGCGTGCGAGTTCTGTTTGCGCGTTCAGCGGTGTCTATCACTTTCACTTCCTATCTCGACGAATACATATGCTATTGCTACAATTACTATACCATCGTGATCCTCTCATTGAGCTCTAGGTGCTGATATCAGAATCAACCCAGTCTGACAACTTTCCACTCTGGCCTTCCGGACGACCCCTTCTGCGCAACTTTGCGCATTTATCTCGTGAACGGCGCCTCCTCTCGACTTCGGACTTGTGTGTACGTCGAGTCTACCCACCAGCGCAGGTGCACAGACTATATTGGGACTACGTAACTGCGAAGATCAAAAGGCATACTCAGTCATGCACGGCCAAAAGGTTTCCGAAGATCTCTTTCATGTGATAATGTGCATGCTACCCCTCTTAAGCCGAGATGACATTGAGGCGTTTATGGGTGTTAGGGAGCGGCAAACAAGGAGGATAGCCCAGCAGTTTGAAGCGACAGGCAAGTGGTATAGTTGGTCAGATATCACCAGCAAGGATGGCATTGAGCAGTGACTGCCGATGACGAACGGGTGCGTACCATGATAGTCTTCATGTTGGCGAAGGTCAAGACTGAATATGTGTATCATAGTTTCTGCAAGGAAGGTTCAAGAGAACAGCAGTAGCGGACTGCTCTGGTGGACTATGCGGTGGTTCGGGTGGCTGCTGGCTCTGTGAACGTGTACACAATCTGAGAGCACCCGTGTAGTTTGGGCGTGGTTTAGGGTAAGACTTCGGTGAGGGAGGAGTTGGATCGAGCGGTTCCTCGCTGGGGTGTTCTTGTTGTTCCGCTCCCTGCCTCTACCTCAGCCAGAGCCTGTCTTGCCCCTCTTCACTTGCTGCTGCCCACATTGATTGACCACCAGCATTGAGTTAGAGGAGTATATGTGGAGAGTAAGTATAGCAGAAGTCACTTGCCAAAGTTTTGGTGTGGGCTAATACTTGAATATATAGTCTCAGTTATCCTCTATCATTCATGATAAGATCCAGTAATATTACATTGGCCAACAGGACACTACTGAACATATAGCATGTTTGGAGAGCTGTATCATAATTGGTAGAGATATATTGTAATAGGAATCCACCATGGGTGCACTCATTAGTTCTTCCTACTGACAGGTGGGGCTCGCAAGGGAAACAACCTTTGGGAACACAGTAGACCAAGCTCCACCTGATCCAAAATGATCTGTGCACCTGCGCTGGTGGGTAGACTCGACGTACACACAAGTCCGAAGTCGAGAGGAGGCGCCGTTCACGAGATAAATGCGCAAAGTTGCGCAGAAGGGGTCGTCCGGAAGGCCAGAGTGGAAAGTTGTCAGACTGGGTTGATTCTGATATCAGCACCTAGAGCTCAATGAGAGGATCACGATGGTATAGGAATTGTAGCAATAGCATATGTATTCGTCGAGATAGGAAGTGAAAGTGATAGACACCGCTGAATGCGCAAACAGAACTCGCACGCGCCCAGTTCGTTGCGTTTTTCCCGCGCGGCCAACATTTCTCAGAACAGCAATAACTCGATCCATCAACACCTCTGTGCTTTTCACGTCTACGCGTAGGCAGACCAAATGGCTCCGCTGACCCCAGACAACGTAACATGTCACCTCGGACAGGCATGATCGCACTCGGCACATTGAAGCACATCACTACTGTTATCACAGGAGTCATGACTTGCATCAATGCGTTATCTACGATTCGGATGAGCCTAATGCTAGGCTTATTGGCATAGAGTATCTTGTCTCAGAGAAGGTACGTCAGGACGTTGAATTTGTCTTCGCAGGTGATCGACCCGTACCGTTATACGGAAGGTTTTTGCGTCTCTTCCGCCGGAAGAGAGGAAGTACTGGCACTCTCACAAGTACGAGGTTCGTCGGCAGTTCTTCCTCCCTCCGGAAGCCGCGTAATCCAAACCGCACGTTATAGGTCGAAAGTGGGATGTTGCAATTACAGGTGAGTCAAAGGAACGTCTCTCCACTACACGTTCTAACCATCCCCAGGTCAAGGGTGCAGTACCAGGTCAGCTCTCCATACCCTATAGCACCCAAACTTTGTTTGACCGTCCCATTTACAGGCGCAGTGACAGATGCTGCAGAGCAGCCCGCCATGCTCGAACTTCAGAAAACATACGGGAAAACAATCCACACGTGGGCTATCGACGAGCACCCTGACCTCCCGCTAGGTCCGCCGAACCTCATGATGTCATATACCGCAGATGGGCAAATACCCCTCGAGGTCCTCAAGAAACGTGATGAGAAATGGGGCATGGATACGGAGGGGAAGAGGAAGCTGAGGGCAGGCTATTTGCCGGAATATCAGACCGTGCATGGGGCGGATGAATGGGAACTGACAGGGAAGGGTGTAGTGTTTGAGCCCGTACTCAAAGATTTGAAGAAATGAGGTTCACGTGTGGCCTTGTTTTGTTCTAATCATTGTGCTATCGTAAAGTGTTGACACTGCAGGGTCCGATGATCTTGCTTCATGCCCAGATTGAGTAGTTCACTCCATTGGATCAAGGGATATCGAGCGAGTGCAAGTTACGTCTCTCAGAGGCCTGATGTGGACACACATCAGGCCTTTGCCATCAAAGCTCACGCGTGTTTGGTACACTCTCGCCCTTGAGTTCATGCAACGTGTGCATTGACTGCTCAATCCTACACCAGTAAGTATAGACCTAGAGCTTCGCCTTAGCAGCACTGCGGCCATCTAGTCACAACAGCTTAGCAACTTCTGCGTCAATGGCATCAGGGGAGGTAGTCGAAGCCCAGCGACTGACGACGTTGCCATTCTTGTCAATCAAGAACTTCTCGAAGTTCCACTTTTCGTCCCATGTGTCAGCACCGTTGGACTCTCGAATTCAATGGGGCGCTGCGCACCTTGATCCTGGTCAACCCAAGGATACCAGCCTTCTGGGACTTGAGCCACTTAAAGACTTCATTGGTATTGTCGCCATTAACATCTGATTTCTTCATCAAAGGGAACGTAACGCCATGGTTTAAAGTGCAGAATTCTGAGATAGCCTTGTCGTCACCGGGCTCTTGTCCGCCAAACTAGCCGGGGTTGCACTAATATAAGCTGAATCATGCATCGTGTGACGGAGCAGGCATACCTGATTGCAGGGGAACCCTAGGATCACGAAGCCCTTGTCCTTGAACTTCTCGTACAGCTTCTGCAAGCCTGGCGCCTATCGATTCATCGCAGCCTTTAATGACCTTGCGACCACACGTACCCTTGTACTGGGGTGTAAATCCACTACGTAAGGTATGAGATGCAACACAATTAAGGATGCGCTACGGGTGCAATACGCACCATTGGGAGGCGGTATTCACAATGAGCACGACCTTTCCTTTCAGATCGGCGAAATCGTACACTTTCCCTCCGGGCATCTCCGCCTTCAGTTCGTAGAATGATTCAACCATTTTCGGTTCGGAATCTCTTGCGGTAGCGATTGTTCTTGAGTAAAGTAAGCTGGCAGGCAAGTGTATGGACGGTAGACGACGGGGCGCAATATGTCTCGCAAACGAGCGGAGAGCAAGATTACCGACAGAGTACCGCGATCTGTTGATAAATGACGATACCCAAGGTAACCGGCGATTCATGCCTCTATTCGTAAATTGATGTCAAGCTTATGAGGCGTATACCGGCGCCCAGAATAGACAGCGGATATCACATGGAAACCGTGTGGCATTGTGGCATAATACTGTGGCATCCACTGCGCATCACTCTCCAATCCTGAGTAGCAGAGCCTTACCCTCGTCTAATTGTATCGCCCGGAGAATGCGTAATTGATGGGTGAGGAATCAGGTAGCAGAGAGCGAGGAAATACAACGAATCCCATCCATGTATTGCCTGCACATCAAGTCAATATCACGAATTACATTTTTAACATACGAGTCGGCCAGGATGCTTAGGCTTTCTGTTCCGAGCCCGATGTCAATCGCGAGAAACGTGGGGACCAGTGTAACCTGTGGATTCCACACTCCCATCTTAAACAGCGGCCAGCGCGACCCCAGATCCCGAAGGTTAGGCATTCTGGAAGGGAGATTATCCTGCGAGTTGCCAGTACGAACGTTCTTGACTTTGGATATCCGAAACCATCTCTGAGCATTTCAGCCTTGATAAAGCGACAGAAAGAGATAAAACAGTGAACAGCATTCTGTCGCGCTCCACGTCTGAGTATATTAGGTGGCGAATTTACACATCCGGATGCGACTGTCGCACATCCGAGATATTCAAACTCACTGAAGATAGTCCAGGCTCGTGTAATCACCCGATGATCAATATACCATCCTAAGTGTAACGAATGGATAGAAGTCAGCACTGAGCAAGATACTGCGGAAGGAGGAGCTCATTACCGCACGGATAGGCACCGTTCCGCCATTCAGCTCCTAGTACGGAATGCTAAACAAGGTCATTCCGTATTGAAGCAGACATCGACCTAAGCCGCATTCTTCAAAAGCCGCTCTGACGGGCGTGCATGATCTTGCCATCATGTCCCAGAAGTGCACCGGCCACCATCTTCCCTGAATGATCGTCACAATGGTTCCTATCCTCCGTGCAAGCCAAGGTGACTGAGCAAGTGGGAAAGCGACAGTGGTCAACGGCCGGGGCTCAATACTACCGTTGACGTTGGACGCGCCAGCCCCCTGTTGTTGTTGGAATTCGCAAACAGAAGGTTCCAAGTGGGACTAGGAAACCTATCGAATCCATTGAATACGACCAACCACTCTGGAGTGCGGCTGATTGTTTTGAGTAGTAGAGGCACTAACTCCATCAGGCGGCCGATGATTAGGGCTCCGTCAAGAGATCAGAGGCTCACAAAGGCTCCAGAGGATTTGACGGATGATACCGACCGATTTTCGCCATTGTATAGAGTCCCGGTCCATTCGCTCTGCTCGCATAATGGCAGAGAATCGGTGAGCGGCAAAGACGTACGGAAAATATAGGTAATCTCGAGCCCCCACAAGACGCTGCTATATGACCTTCTCCGGACGGACAGATCGGATAATCCAGAGTGCCAGCAGGCAGGTCACGAATTTATATGAAGCGGGTAATGAGACCGTGGTTTGCGACAGTTAGCTAGTAGTGATTCCTCTGGAGATTGTCTCGTGAGCCCACGCTCTTTAGTTGTTATATCCCGCCATACATGTCACAGAGCTTGCTATAGGCGTGTCGTCCACTGTCGATGGGAGAGTCCTGGCGGTAGCAGGAAAGAGAAAACCTGTTCAGTAAATATCTAGAAACTGTAGACGGATCGATTGAAGCTCAGCATGCATAGGCCAAAGGTGGGAGGAGTCGCCCCCTCGCCGTCGCCGTCGCGTGGCTCGATGCGGTATCGGGAAGTCCGGGCACCATCCGATCTCTTCAGCCACATCGTCCTCAGGTCCTTCCCTGGTCCTTCTTGTTTCTGAACGTTACTTTGGCAACTATTCGTCTTCATATTTCCTGCATCAGCCGTCGTCTGGAGGAAGTATCTGTACAGAGCACTGGAGAAGATCGGAGGCCGACGTTGCAAGGCGATATTCCTTGAGGAGTGGACAATTGATCCGCTCGTGATCATCTTGGTCTACTTGCTGTTGGAGGCTGTTGCTCTTACCCTCGGTTTCTCCCCAAAACTCGAGGAGCTCTCGGACTTTTGGACGATGTTCGCTGCTTTTTCACGTCGCTCTTGCTGCTCTAGTGGGACGTCAACCTTCTCTGCTGCCTTCTCTGTCGACATAAATTAGCTGGCACATTCTTCACGGGATGGCTACTTGCGATAAAATTGGTATCATCTTGACGTCAACGGAGGATTCCTCGAACGTTTACCGCGCATTCTGGAGCTCTCACTCAATACTGGGGCTTTTCCTTTGATGAATTGCTGATTCTGGCGGTGTCTTCAAACATTGCTGGTCTGGCTCCGTATGGTGCGATTCGCTGCGATAACCGTTTCCTACATTGGAAAGTTGCTCTTACACATGTTACAAAGGTATGTCTGTCGTGTTATGTGTCGAGCTTTGCACGTCGGTGGTCTTGCGGGGCTAGTCAGGTCGTCGAGGGTTGGGAGCTTGCTGCGCTATCGGTAGCGCTCTTCGAGGAACTCCATCTTGAATCACACCATTCTCTTGCTGCAGGCAATTGTCCGAGTGTTCATTGCTCAGTTTTACGATGCTGATGGTGGAGGTTGGGAAGGAAATGTACTTGCCTGGCGATTTGATTCTTATCATGATGTGATCATCACGCTGTGACACGTCACACACAGAATGCCCGTAGCTTCGATTGCAGGAGTCCATTGAAAGCATGGTGCTAATAAGACGTTACGATATAGGTCTCATGAATGTCTGGCAGACATACCTCACATGAGATGACGGTGTTTGGCGGTAATGCCCGGTATGACTGTGAAATGAGCGAGAACGTGTTTGCTTTGTCGGGCTCGGAAGCAAATTCTACGGCAGTGGACGGTGCATAAGTTGCCCCTCAGGCAGGACGTACATTCGTGGAAAAACCTCGTCCTGTGCGGCCCCGTGGTCCTCGATCTCCTCTTGCGTCTCTACGGTACAAGACTGTCCTTCAGGGATGCTGCTCTGTTCGATCTGGTATGCTCGGCACATTTCCATAGCACTTCCAGTGATGGGTGGCCCTCGGCACAACACGGGATTTCTCTGCGCGAGCAACTATTGGGCTTCTCAGGTGCGCGTTGTTCCGCCAACAGGCTCTGGATATAGAATGTGAGCCGTGTCGCGAAGTCGTGGATCGTAGCAAAAGGCGCGTCTTGAATGCCGTAACAAGCTTGCGCGAGGAATGCCACGCGCTGAGCATCCGCTCATGGGACTGAGCTGCGCGGGCTATTATACTACAGCAACGGGAGGGTTCCAACCTGTATGAAGGTGGCAGTGAAGCTAGCGATGCCATCTAATCAACCCTGCCCGTGTCTCCCTTCTCATGACCCCGCGCCGGAAGCGGCGATGTTCTGTGCAAATGCGCTAGATAATCGCGCCTTATCAAATTTCCACTTGGCCGCTATTTAGTTGCTGTCGTATATAATGGTCGGACGCCGCCCAAGCGGCCTCTCCCTCTCTTTCTCCTTTATGCTCTTGCAATCGCTTGTTCCATTTTTTTGGTCTGCTTGATCTTTCGCTATCTTGCTTTTCCGCCTCGGTTTCCCGTTATAATGCGTCGACTGGAGCCCACCTATCCGTCTTTCAATCTTGTTGTCAACGAAGCGCTGGATGACCCCCTCCGACTCCCTCCTTACCACTCGTTCCACCGCCGACCGCATTCTCATCCGGCTTATGGCCCCGCTAGGTTCGAGGACCCGTTAATGGTGAGCCGTTCACCGGCGTTTTTCGTCAATGCCTCTGACGGTTTTTAGACAACCGTTAACTATGGCTTACAAAGCACGGACGATCTTTCGGCTGTTCCTGAGCTCTCATTCGTGAGTTTGTCCGTCTCCTTCGTGCACATTAATTAATCAGCGTCTTAGTCCGACTTCTGGCCGCCGGACGAGGAAGCTGCTAATCTACAGGCTGCGCTGGAGAATCGTCGTATTGCCAAGGGTTCTATATCGAGGCGGCGTAGCTTCTCGGACCTGGTTATTGTGAGCGTCAGGATGGGCGTCCGTCAGTTGTCGACCTACTTACATTGCGGTTTGTCGAAGGATTTGGCTCACATAATCAGACGGAAGTGTCTAAGGAACCCCTTTAAGCGCACTCGAAAAATGCCTGTGCTTAAGGCAAAGGAGGTGAAAATATCTTAAACTATCAGATGACCCAGCGTCCTCGCCAGATTTGCCTCTTGCTGCATCTCGCCCTCGCATTTCGCTGATACTGTTGAATTTGTATCATAGTACCTTCCGTGTTGTTGCTATCGCCTACAGTCTACACTTTGATACAGCAAAAATATGTGGCTATCAACGGGGTTGGAAGGGACATTCGTTCCCATGAGATTGCAATTATCAAGAGACCCCGACTGGGGAAGACCGCATAAATGATTTACAACAGATATACTTCACTGTAGAACTAAGGACCCTACCGATCCCTCAGGTTCTTCTCTCTCTCGTAGGCCTTCTTCACCTAATAAACAGACGGTCGTGTCAGTCTGCGCAGGTGAGGCGGAACTCGATTCAGAACGCACCGCGCTGGTGAAGTCCGCGTCATCCAGCACTCTGAATCCAAGGGCGGCGAGCCCTTTCGTGACCGTCAGACATAGCTCGTGTGCCTCCTTCGTTCGCGCGGAGGCTGTGAAACCTGGAGTGTGATTACCGCCGTTGGCCTCGGTTGGTATTGCTATGAAGGATAGAACGTGAGGGGAACGAAGCGTAACCCACACTGGAGAAGTTTACCGTATGATGGGTGTAAGGCAGGAAGTTCTGCTCACAAAGTTAATACCTGGTCGGGGGCAGCATGGACGCTCAAGACCCACCATATGTGACATTTCCCTGCGACGGCTGGTAAGCAATGTCTTGGTATCTTGCACGGCAGACGGGAACTCACGAAGTCCGTCGAACCACCTATGGCGCCTTCAGCCATAGTCGTCCTCCAATCATACCTCGCACCCATGATCCGTCCATACGTCTTGGCTACAGGTCCTCAGAAGCTCAGCGCTGAATTCCTGACGCAAGAATGACACGACCCATACCAAGAACACTGTTTTGTCTGAGATCATACTGCGCCATCCCGACGGTCATGTTCATCCTGCATCCCGTCGCTTGAGCTGCAGCGCTGGAAGAGATCGTTAACACAAGCTGATCACAGCAGAACCTGACGTCGTACCTGAAACAAGCTTTCACACGTTCCCGTAGTATCTCGAGCTCAGCATAGCTGGGCGCCCGTACGAGCCAGAGCATCTTAGTATAGTCAGGGATCACTAGGTTGGGGAGTGTAAGCGGGGAATCATGTACGCCACATGCAGTGGGACACACCATTTGCCGCTAACTCGTCCTTCCCGCCTCGAATGACACCATGCACGCGATGCGTAGGCTTGATCTGCTGACGGAGCACAGCGACATTGGAGTACGCTAAGAACGCTGCGTCGAGCGCGTTTATGCCCTCCCATGGGGAGGCAGATGCGTGTGCTCTAGTGTCAAGAACGTATTGTTAGATGCATGCTTCCGGAGAATGGGAGGAAGGCTGACTGACGTGTGACCGTGGTACTCTATCTCAATTGACTGGACGGCCAGGGAGGGGCCGATGCCGATTGAGTGGTTGGGTCCGGGGCCAGGATGAGACCTGAGATAGATGAGTAAATCCAAGCCGCAACATCGCTGGCGCAGTCAGGACGTACATTAGACATACATCCATATTCTTATATCCTCCACGCTCGATGAGGATAATTTTCCCTCCTCCTCCCTCCTCGGCTGTCCAAGACAACGCGTGTCAGGCGAGCACGCTTGCACTGTACTTCGACATACTTACCAGGAGTGCCGAGCAAGACAATCTTCCCAGCAATGTCATGTTTCTGCAATGCGTCTTTCAGAGCCAGCGCCACGCCCACCCCACAGATGGCGATCAAATTATGCCCGCATGCGTGCCCGATGCCTGGGAGCGCATCCATCTCAGAGTTCACGCCGAGAACCCTACCTCCCTTGCCATGACTCCACTCTGCTCTCCAGGCGGTGTCGAGGCCGAGATAGTGCTTGGTTACTTTGAAGCCGTGAGAGTACATGAAAGCGGTGAGGGTGTCGTGGGTGCGCCTGAAATGGGGGCATTAGCTTGGCTGACAGGGTAGGATCAGTGTACTCACTTTTCTTGGAAGCCGAGTTCGGGGTGGTCTTTAATATGATGAATGGTGAGAATTGACCCGATCCGGAGCTGGAGGCGAACGCACCATGTATATCCAAGCTCAGTTTCCTCAACTCAGGACTGAACCTGTCCAGAGAAGACTCGATAGTAGCCATGACCTCAGGCCTGTAGATCTCCGTCTCCTCCGACTCGATGCAATCGGGAAGAGTCTTGCTCTTCTCACTTCCTCCTACACAGTAGACATCCTTCCCAGTCGGAATTCCAAAGTCGCAGCAAGACTTGTGCAGATACCCTCCCTGCGAGATGACTTAGCCAACATAGCCGAGTCAGATCGGCGGTTCGGCAAGTACTCACAAAGTCTCCCTCTCCTTCTCTCAATGTCCGGCTCGAACCTGAGTAGCTCGGGTTGGTGATATACGGATAGGGCTCTACCACCGGCGCATTGCTGCGCCGCCTGCCCAGGTTAGCCAACAGCCCGCCGAAGCAACCGCTCTTTGAGTCGGACATCTTCAGTCTTGACCTGGGGGGTACTCGCGCGAGGTGGCTGAAGTATCGAGGGAAATGAGGCCTAAATGAAATACCACAATCGAGACGTCATCATTGCTTAGGACCCCGGCATACTGGTATATATGTTTGATCCTAGTGCGGACATAAACGGCCAATTTTGAGGCCCTATGTCGGATATTTAGGCGGACATAAAGCCCAAAATTTCGGTCCATGTCCGGTATATCACGGCGGACACAAGGGCCTTGCCGGTCTTGGTGTCCGATCACCTGGCGGACATACGGAGTCGTCGAAGTGTCACACCCAGTAGTCCTTGTACTAGGTTGAGTGGTGTCTCTTATGCTTCTCAGTCAACTGTCAGCTCGTCTCGTGTATATCCAGGTATATCCTCAGCAACGGTGAATGAAATGCAAGCTTTGGAAACAGTGGTGGATCCTAGGAAGACTGAAATACAATATCCCGGAGTAATCATGTCACGATCTACTCGTTGCAGCGTTGGGCGTGTGCCGGTTTCGAGGTTGGATCCGTTTGGCGGACACACCGGGGGACGCCCGAGCATAGGTCACTTATGCGGACATAAGCAGCCCAATTTGGGCTGACCGGATCCTAGAGGCGGACATATCCGG